TGTGGATGAGGGGTGGACAGGTGAGCTCATATACAAGTGAACACGTGTACAGGTGAGCCTGCGTGTACATGAGGGGTGAATAAGTGAGCTTCTTTGAGGCACAACTATTAAATTAGTTTCCTGGGCTTTCTGTAATGGTCACACAAGCTGGCTAACTGAAAACAGTGGACATTTATTCTCTCACCCTCCTGGAGGAGGACGTCTGACACGGAGGTGTCGGCAGAGGTGTGCTCCCTCAGAAAGCTGTAGGGGACGGTCCCTCTTCATCTCTTCCCGTTTCTCGTGGCCTCTGGTGCTTCTGGGCTGTGACATCACCACCCCTTCTCTGCCTCTGCTCACATGGCTGTCTCCCTGTGTTTCTCAGCCTTTTATAGGGCTCTAGTTGTTAGGCATGGAATTGTGCCTCATCCCCCCAAGAGTATGTGTCAACTTGGCTGGGTCGTGGTCCTCAGTATGCCGTAATTTTCCTCCACGGTGTGATCTGATGTCCTTCTGCTGGGTGTTGCAAATCTTCAGCTCTGTGACATTAATCAGGCACGATGCAAGACAAATTGTGTCTTGAGTCAATGACTTTTGATATGCAAAATAGATTAAACAAGTGAGCAGAGGGCAGAGGGACGGACTGTCAATAGGACAGAAGATCCTGGAATGGGGCCTGTTTTTGGACCCAGGGTCCCTGCACTAAAAACCTACTAGACTCAGAGGAAGACAATACCAAGACACATGGAAATCTGCAAAGAATGCCTGACCCACGACTGCTGAAAGGAGACAGGATCTTCCCTGAGAGCCAAAAGGGAATGAAAACCTTCCTTTAGAACTAGGATCCTGAATTCAGACTCCTAGCCTCCTAAATTGTGAGAAAATAAATTTCTGTTTGTTAAAGCCACCTCCTTTTGGTACTTCTGATTAGTGGGACTAGAGAACTAAGACTCTAGTTACAAAGAGATTTTAGATCGTTGTGAGTGGGAATCAACTTGAGAGCAGTGGGGTTTGCTTTGTGTTTGTTTTTTTTTTTGACGACCTCATCTTAATTGATTACATGAGCAAAGACCCCTTTTCCAAGCAAGGCTGAGTTCACAGGAACTGAGTACTAACGCTGTCTTTTTTCCTTGGGGGGGGTGCATAGTTCAGCCCATCAGAGTTGTGCATGCAGGAGACAGTTTCTAAGCCCCAGACATCTGGCTTCTGGCTCTGGGGTGCACATTCTAACCACTACACTGCACTGTCCCTCTCTAAGCTAACACTCTCCCAGTGAAAATTAGAGTCACAGGACAATGACAGAATGCTGGTGTGGTCACGAGGCTTAGTGACATGACTGGGGTGAGGAGGGGGCATGAACTCTATTGAGCGGGGGTCTGAGCCAGGCAGGATGTGGAGGGGGAGGGGTGTGACAGCAGACAGCTGGGCAGTGGGCTGGGCCTTGTAGTGCGTGGACAGTGGAGGGACAGACCTGGAGGATGCATCCGAGTCCTGCTTTGTGTGTGTTGGGTTGCAGATGCTTTCAACATTCAAGGGTCTCTCCAGCCCCCCTCCCCTCTCCCACAGAGAGTTCAGGCACAAGATCAACATCACTTTCAACGACAATGACACGGTGTCCTTCCGGGAGCACCGCAGCTTTCAGTTCCAGCCCAGCAGGTCCGGCGGCTTGGAGAGCGACTACATCGTCATGCCCAACATCGTGGTCCTGGTGAGGCTGCCCTCCGCCACCCTGCCCTCAGCCCTCTCCACAGCCCTCAGGGCTTCATCTTCTGTTTGGTCAACCTTCAGCCCAGGTCCCCTCCAGACTGTGTCCACCGCCCGTCGTTCTCAGCTCCTTGTATGTTGCTGGCTGGTTACTAGGGGCCTTTGCATCCGTGTAGACCCAGGGTATAACCCTGCCCAGTCCTGTCCCATCCCCACCAACACTGATGTGCTTGGACCCCTTGTGACGTCCACTCTGGCCACCTCCTTAAGGGCCTTTATCAGGCTCCATGTCTTTCTCTAGGAATGCGGCCCTAAAATATCCAATGTATTTGAGAGAAACACTCACTTCTAATGAGCATCCTAACTATTTAAGACAGGTTTGCTCATTCTTCTGCCAGTCCGAGTCACAGTCACTGTTTGTCCCTGATGTCATGATTCAAAGGTGTCAGTTCTTCTTGGATCTTCCTTATTCATTGTCCAGCTTGCAGAAGGATTTCTGTTGTGTACTGCTGTGCTGGAACCCCTCATAGTCGGCCCTCCAGCTGGTTTTCAGAGGCAGCGGATTGCACAAGAGGAGACTGCCCATCTTTCTCCTGTGGAGCAGCTGGTGGATTTGAACCACTTGCCTTTGAGCTGGCAGCACAGCTCCTTACCACTAGGCTACTGGAGCTCCCTTTCTGAAGTATTGTTATTATTATTGCTGTGTCGCATCATAGCAGAAGGAACCCATAGCTGACCCTCCAGCAGGTTTTCAGAGGCAGATAATCACAGGGGAGGAGACTGCCCATCCTTCTCCTGCGGAGTAGAGGTGGGTTCGAACCACGGGCCTTTTCAGAAATATGGATCAATGTAATTTTCTTTTCCCTTTCTACATGTGAGCCCCAGCTCTCCAGGGCTGGCGAGCATGCCTCTGTCACCCTCTGGAGTGTTTCAAGGGGCTATGGGCGAGGCAACCGATGTGTCTGGCCAAGGCTCGTGGGAACAGCTGGCGTTTCTGGTTTCCTGTGTCCCTCCCTCTGCAGGCTGCATCCACGATGATGGAGCACAAGCCAGCGCCCCTGAAGTTTTTGTTGACGGTGGGCCTCAGCACCATGGGGGAGCGTGCCTTCATGAACCACACTGTGGGCGAGATCATGTGGGGCTACAACAGCCCCCTGTTGAACTTCATCAGCAACAACCTCCCAGACATGTTCCCTGTCAAGGGTAAATTCGGCCTGTTCGCCGAGGTGAGCCTGGGGGCCCTCTGTCCACGCAGCCTGTCCCCACACACACCCCAGCTCGCTCTGCAGCCGTCCGCTGACGGCGGAGGACCCAACCTGACTGGGCGCAAGCAATTCTCTTAGCTGGCCTCGAGATGACTCCGACCCAGGACGACCTTGGGGACAATGAGCAAGCTTTATTGTGTCCTGAGCCGTGTCCACTGTCTCGGTGTTCACGTGTCTGGCCCTCTTGTTGAGGGGCTTCCTCTCTTTGTCCTGACCCGTGACTTTTCCAAGCATTAGGTCTCTGTCCAGGGGCCCCTCCTGATGACAGGCCCACAATATGTGAGATGCAGGACACTGTCCTTGCCTCTGACTCTGAGGAACTGCCTGGTTGGACTTCCTCCAGAAAAGACCTCTGCATCCTTTGAGCAGATCCCGTGTTCAGTCTGCTCCAACACCACCACTCAAAGGCACCCATGGGAGAGCTTGCAATTTAGGTGGGATAGGGTGGGGAGGTAGGCCTTCCCACATGCCTCCAGGGAAGTTGAACTCCCCTCCACTTATAGGAGAAAGGTAGGGAGCCCCACATCTTGTAATGTTGATAACCCAAATGGCGAGGTTCCCACCCATTTGTGGAGGGAAGCCCAGCCTGGGACTGGACAGGGAGGGAGCCTGGAGGGCAGTCGTGGGCCCCACATCCCCGGCTCCAAGCCCTTCAGGATACTGTTTTGTACCATTGTCTGCAGCTCAACAACTCCGACTCCGGGCTCTTCACCGTGTTCACGGGTGTCAAGGACCTCAACAGGATCCACTTCGTGGACAAGTGGAACGGGGTCAGCAAGGTGAGGGAGGGGGCTGGGCAGCACGGGCAGCGGCCGCCCCCTCACTCCGCACGGTCTCTCCTGAAGCTCAGGAGGATGGCTGCTGTCCTGCACAGGCATCTGAGGGGGAGAGGTGCAGATGGTTAAGCCATCGCCACTGATCGAAAGGTGGGAAGTTCGGGGGCACCCTAAAATACCTCGGAAGAAAGGCCTGGCAATCCACTTGTGAAAAGCCAGCCCTGGAAGCCCCACTCCACCACACCTGGGGGTGCTGTCAATGGCAGTCGTTTCTGATGGTTCCCTGAAAGCGACACTTTTTTTTGGGGTCCTCGCTGCCAGCCTTTGGGGGCCATGGCAAGGGAGAGTACTAACTGTGCTCATGGGTCCCCAGCGGGTGCCAGGCGCCAGGATCTTTCCTCCTTTACTTCTGAGTTTATAAAATAATTTTGAAAGCATTTTCCTGGAAACACAGGAAAACATAAAAATAGACAATGGAGATAGACAAAGTGCCCTTTATAACCACTTCCAGGTCTCCCCGTTCGCCTGCCCAGGCCGCAGAGGAAACCCACAGCTATCAAGTTGGGGGATACTTTTCCTGTTTGCTTTTTATCTGCTTACACGGTTCCCGGGCACGCAGGGGCGTGGTGGGGTTTCTTGTTTTGTGTCTGCTTCTTTGGACGTGAGGAGCTCTGTTGACGTAGTCTTCAGGGAGTTGCCTTTTGATGGTCCACGTCGCCCAGCGGTGCTGAGGGAGAAGGCTCGCCCATCCATGGACAGCCCCCCAAAACCTGCAGGCAGGTCAGCTGTGCGTTGGTTCCAACTCGACCGCAGCGAGTGTGGGTTTTCGACTTGGGGGCAGTGTGTTACCTGCTGCGCTGCTGACTCCAAGGTCAGCGGTTCTAGCCATTCTGAGGGAGGAAGACGAGCAGTCTGCTCCCATAAAGGTCACAGGCCCTGGAGCCCAGGGAAATTCAGCCAGGAGGGGGAACAGATCTGATGTCATGCGTTTGGTGTTTGGCTTTCTGTGGGTAGTCCGTGGGGTGTGCAGTAGCATGACGGGACATTTGAAACAGTGCGAGAATGACTGAAGGGGACACAGACATGGAGTGAGCGCGGCTGGGTGCAGAAACGGTGCCCTGGGCGCACTGGTCAGACACAGATGGCCGCAGCCCCGCAGGCTGGAGACATGCGCTCTGCAGAGCGCATGGAAGGGAAGGACAGTTGGAGGAGGACAACTGGCAGCTGAGCCCCGCTGCAAGTCCCTGGACGCAACAGTGGACACGTCCTCTGTCCTCCATGTGTGTGCCAGGCCCTGTCCCCAGTCCCTGCCTGCTCTCAAAGGACACTACTGGGCATGAGAAGACAGTGTCCACACCAGGCTTTGCCACTAGTTTGGGGCCACGACCCCGAGCGGGTGTCAGAGGTCATGGTAGTCCTGACTGGTCGGGTGTCATCACACACACACACCCCATCCCCGGCCCCCAGGTCAACTTCTGGCGTTCCGACCAGTGCAACATGATCAACGGAACCTCTGGACAAATGTGGCCACCGTTCATGACCCCCGAGTCCTCGCTGGAGTTCTACAGCCCAGAGGCCTGCCGGTAACCGCTCAGATGGGCTCCACTCTCCCCACGCCTCCTGGGACTTGGGGAGACTCTGGGTGGCGCAGACCCTAACAGTTCAGGCTCGGGGTTGACCACGTGTGAGGCACCCTAAAGAAAAGCCCGTCAGCCATCCACTGAGAAATCAGCCCTTGGGAACCATCTGGGGTTCAGCTCTTCTCTGCTGCATGTGGCCGCCACGAGGCGGCTGGCTGGACATCAGCTAGTTCTTGGGGCTCTTGGGGTTACAGAGCTGTTACAGAGCAGACTGCCACACCACACGGGGTTAACATCTCTGTGGGGCCAGATCACATGGTCTTTGTCCTAAGCCACTGGATGGATTCAAACCACCAACCTTTCTAACCTAGCTGGCAGCTGAGTGCTGAACTGTCTGAGCCACCAGAGTTCCTTCATGCTGCTTGGAGATCAGTTCAGAGCCCTGGTGACGCTAAAGCGTTCACCTGCCACCGAAAGGCTGGTCGGCAAACCCGCCAGCTGCCCACGTGAGGAGGCCGAGGCATCTGCTCCCGTGAGGACGGCCCACCTCGGGGACCCTCCGGACGGGTCTCCTCTGTCCTTCGGGCTCGCTGGGCGTCACAGTCCACTCAGCAGACAGTGGGCTTGGTGTGCTGTGGGTTTTCAGAGAGACCTGGTGGAGCGATGCTCAAAATGCTTGACTGTACTAACCTCCACGTCAGCGGTTTGAATCCATCCGCCTCTCTGTGGGAGAAATGAGGCATGTGGCTTCCATAAAGAGAGCTGGGGACACGATGGGGCAGTGATCTCTTTGCTATAGGGCCACTGTGAACTGGAACTAGCCCGAGGGGAGGGGCTGGATGGGGGTGCTGGTGAGGTGAGGGGTGAAACTGAGACAAGGGCACAGTCACAGTGGTGGCCCAGGCAGCGGCAGTGCAACCAGGGAGGAGCAGGTGGATGGGGACCATGGTGAGTAATATGCTGCTAAAGGTACCTGATTCTGGGGGGTCACCCCTGTGGTCCTCTGCCCCCACAGGTCCATGAAGCTGGTGTACAAGGAGGCAGGGGTGTTCGAAGGCATCCCCATCTTCCGCTTCATGGCTCCCCCCACCTTATTTGCCAACGGATCTGTCTACCCACCTAACGAGGGCTTCTGCCCGTGTCTGGAGTCCGGGATTCAGAACGTGAGCACCTGCCGATTCGGTAAGCGACACCCTCAGGACGGTGGACACAGGGCGGTGGACAGAGGCGGGCACAGGGAGAGCTTATCTGTCCACCTCTGTCGGCACCTCGCTGGCCTCTGCACTGCCGATAATCCCATTAGGCTAGAGATAAGGAGAACGGCTGAGAGCCAAGGAAGGGAAAGAGAATGCCAGAGTGTACGTGGGACAGTAACAGTCACGAACACAGTCCAGAGGCTCAGATTATGACCTCACGGTTCTGGAGGGCAGAAGTCCGGGGTGACTCTCAGCAGGCCAAAAGCCAGGGGTCTGCCAGGCTTTGGGTTCTGTCTGGAGGTCACTCACAGGCCTCACCTAGGGGCCCCCCTCTTCCATCCTCAGCACCATCACATCCTTCCAGCCCTGCCCCTCTAGGTCCAGGTCTTCCTCCCTCTTCTAGGTTGTTTTGTGGTGTGTTTTTTTAAAGGGTTTTATTTCGGTTCAGGTGAGAGTGGACAGAGCGCATTGGTTTCCTGTTCAGTAATTCACGCTCTGGTTGTCCCTTGTCACTGGTTGTGGACCCCACACTGTGTCGGCACGCCCCGCCCCCCGCTTCCACCTTGAGTTTCCCATTTCTCCTCACCCCAAGTCCTGCCCCTTCCTCCCTGCTCAGTTTTGCCCACTTTCCCTGGCATCCCGTTCACGTCACGGGTCCGTCTTTTCTATAACTGAAAGGTCCAGTTTGAGAACTCATGATCATTCTGGTCCCGCTGGGACATGCTTCATGTTTCCATTTTTGTTTCAAATTTGTCACTGCTGTTTGAGGACGAGTTTACAGAGCACTTTCCTTTTCTTTCTTTCTTTTTTTAACTTGCTCAAAAACACTTTATTAAACATTTTTTTTAAAGGAATAATTTTTTTTTCTGGAAAACAATACATTCGTACAATAAATAAACTAGTATAATAATAAACAGTAATTCTTTTTAAGTAATGACGTTATTGTAAAATGTGCCTTAATTGAAACTGGTGTTTCTCTGTGGAAAATGTAAACATCTCAAGACCATAATATTTTCTAAACATTCTAAGATCATGAAGCTCGTTCAGTATCTTTAGAACGCTTAGAAAAGTGATTAGCTTCTCTATGGCTTAGGATCTGATGCCAGGCTTGTTTTTGAGTGTCTTTTCCCTCTGAGGGTTTTTGATCATTTTCTGGTGTTTGTTGAAATTCATGGAGGGTTTCTGTCTTGATCCCAGCAGCCCTTCAACATTAGCTTGACTACGTGAAAGACGCCAAGTCTTTCCCCAGAGCTTCTAATTCCTTTAGTGTTTCGTGTCTGTCTGGATGATGCTGGATTACTTTGCCTTTTCCATTCACCAGTTCACATGCGTTTTGTTTTGTGGCACGGAGGGCATCACCCCCATCCCAACAGCACTCCTCCTGCTTCCTCCCTGTGCTTCCTGTTTCCACTCAGCCCTCTTTTCTATACCTTCCTGCCTTCTCAGCTTTATCCCTGGACAAATGCTGTCCTTTGCATCTAGTACAGTTGGTTATTCTAAGAAGTATGCTCCTCTCTTATTTTATTTTTTCCTTGTTGTGTACCAGAGAATTGGATCCAACTGGCATAAGAGGAGATTGCCCCTCTGTTTCCAGCAGAGCATCTGGTGGATTCGAACCACGTGCCTTCAGGATTGCAGCGCAGCTTCTTGCACTAGGCCACCAGAGCTCCCTTCTCTTATGTTTTTGTTTAACTTTATTGGTCTATTATTTGGCTGGAAATATTGTTGTTTTAAGAACAGCTGGTTAGGGATTTCATTCCATCTGGTACCTGAATGTCCCCGCCCCTCACACAGTAAGGAAGACCCCTTAGTAGCACTGTGGTTAGAGTGTTGATCCATTGACACGAACCCACAGCTTTTTGCTCAGGGAAGATGTAGATCTCTGCTTCCAGAGAGATTTCAGACCAGGGAACCCGGTGGAGCATTTCCACCCTGTTCCCCAGGGTCACTGTGAAATCGGGCTCTCCTTGATGGGGTGATTTAATGTCGTACATTCGAGATGCTGCTCCCCAGGTACGGTGGCCAGTGCTGGCGTGTTCAGGTGACACAGGTGCCTGGCTGTTAGTGCGTCAAGGTGGCTCCGACTCTCAGGGACCCCCGTGACCTCATGGACAGCCGTGCGAGCCCTGCTAGCTTCCGTACCTCCCCGCCCTGTCTTTTCCAGGAGCCCATTCCTGTGCCTTCTGTGTCTGCCCATTTCATCGAGGGTCTTCCTCTTCATGGTTGACCTGCTGCTCTACCACGGGCGCTATGGTGGCCGGGTGGTAAGAGGCTGCCCTGCAAGCCCAGAGGCACATGGTTCGAATCCACTAGCTGCTTTGCCGGAGAAGGTTGGGCAACCTCCTCTGGTGCGATTTACAGCCTCTGAAAACTCTGGAGTTTCAGCTCTGGGCCAGTCCTGATGTGACGGCACATGATGACGACAACAACAACTCCTTTCCCAAGTCCTTCCCCAAGGCCCAGCCTCTCCTGATTGCATGCCCATGGCCAGTGTCCCCATCCTCCCTTGTGAGGTGCTTTCTGGTGCACTTCCAGGACGGATGTGTGTGTTGTTCTGTCGTCCGTCGCTGTGCTTGCCAAGGCCCCAACTCAGAGGCTTCAGCTCTTCTTGGACCTTCCCCACTCACCGTCGGTTTTCACTGGCCAGGGAGGCAGCAGACGGCGGCCTGACTCGGGAGAGACTGCCTTGGTTCTCAGAGTCACACCTTTCCTTTCTCTTCAGGGAAATCTATTTTCCCTCAGCCAATATGCCCACTGCGACACGTTGCTTGATTTCTCGACGGCCACTTCCTTGGGGGTTGAGGGTGGATCCACGCATAATCCCGTCCTCAGCAGCTTTGATCTTGTCTTTATTTCATGATGTTGTGTATCGGTCCGGTTGTGAGGGCTCCTTTATGGGGTACATTAAGTCAGCACTGACCGATAACCACCCCTCCAGCGGGTGTTCACACGCTAAATCACATGGGAGGAGGCCCATCTTTCTCCTGTGGGGCACTCGTGGATTCGAACTGTACACAGTTGGATTGGTAGCACAGCTTCTTACCACTAGGCCACCAGAGCACCACGAGGGCTCCCAGAGGCTCTGTAATGGGACTGCGCAGACGCAGGCAGTCTTCATTGTTGCGGGACGTCCCCTTGGACTGTGCTGCTCCATGGACGAGCCCAGGGACTCGTGACAGCACATGTGGTCACTCTGCCTTAAAGTCTCCAGTGGCTTCTGCCGCGTGTGCGGTGAAGCCCAGCCCTCTAACCCTCTAACCGTGACCTCAGGGCCCGCCCACCGCTCTCAGCACCCTCCGGCTCCGTGCTGCTTTCCTGCGGCCACTGTTCTTCACTGTTTCAGAGTCTCCGTGGCCAGGCTCCATCAGGTTTGGCCACATGGAAGGCCTTCGCGCCAGCTGAGCCCTGTGCCAGGAGACCTCTGTCCCCAAGATCCACATGGACCATCCTGTCACCTTCCTTATGGTCTCAGCTCACATGACACCTCCTCCAGGAAGCCTTCTGATCTCCCCTTCCAGAGCCACCCTCCTGCCGCCTCCCAGCTCCGCTTTCTCCTATCGTCTCGTCTCGTTGTAGTCTTCTTGGTTCTTGCTGCTCTCGGAAAGCAACAGTGGTGGGCTTTATATTACTTGTTTGTTGTCCGCCCGCCTACCCCCCGACTGTGACTCTTTAAGGTGCAGCCAGAGTGCTTCTCAGAAGCAAACACCATGCGACTTCATCTCAGCCACCTTGTGTGTGTTGTCCGGAGGGGCGGACCCCTGGAGAAGGACGTCATGGTTGAGGAAGTAGAGGGTTAGCAAGGAAAGGGAGCCCCTCAATGAGATGGGTGGACACAGTGACTGCAGAGGGGCCGAGCGCAGAGCGTGAGCCTGGTGCAGGAGCACGTGGGGGTCCGTTCTGTCCCTCACGGGGTCACTGTGAGTCAGAACCAAGTGGACAGCAGCTGACAACAATTCCCCCAAAACTGTCCATACAACTTTAATTCCCACAAGGTGAAAACCACAACCATTGCTCAGATGGAGACCCAGAATGTGGCAGCCCCCACGTCCTTCCAGGTCCCCTCCCAACCACCACCACCCCGACTGGCAGCAGCACAGGGCAAGTGCACAGGCCAAGCCCAGCCTGGTTCGTCTTGGTGTGAGTGGGGTCCCAGTACATGCACCCCTTTTTCTGGCTGCTTGCCTGCGAGGGGAACTGCATGGCAGGGGTGGTCCTGACTCTCTGTCTTCTGAGTGTAGATTCCTGCTCTGTGAATACGCTTCTATTTCCTCGTCCTTCTGCTCCTCGAGCCTCTCTCTTTCTGGGTTTGAACCACCATCCTTGTGTTCCTAGTCCAGCTCTCCTGCCTGGTCTATCTCCCCCAGCCCGTGGTCACCACGCATTGACGTCTTCCCCACGCTCTTGTCTATTCTAGAGGGTTTGTATATGTGGAGCCTTAAGAGTCAGATGGTTTCATCCTCCCCATGTCTGCTGACTTCGCACAGCACAAATCCTCCAGGTGCTCTGTGCTGTAGCGGGTGTCAGGGCTGCGTCCTGTTCGTGGATGGACAGTACATCCTTGTCTGAGTCCCTTTTTTGTGTCCTGCCCTCACTTGGTGGACCCTAACCCTCACTCGTTACCCCTTGGGCTGTTGTGTGCTGTGCTGCTGTGAACGCTGGGGCATCTGTTGGAAGCCTTGCTCTGTTCCTGTGTGTGGAATTGAATTGCTTGGCTGAAGGAATCTTCTGGCACGTGTCTCAGGTGTCCATGCTCTGGAGTTCAGAAGCACCCCCCGCCCTTTCCCTTTCCAAGCCTTGCACATTCCTTAGATCAGAGGACCCTGTCCTGTCTAACCTCCCAGCTTCACAGGGGCCCCTAGACTTACCCAACAGAGCTTCTTAATCATAATCTGTGGTGATCCTCGGCAATTATCTGTGGTTAGATGCACCATAAAGCCATAAATTAATTAGACTTACTGCCTGGGCAGGTCTCTCTCAGATCATTTGAAAATAAAACAGAAAGAACCATGTGTTGACATGTCTGCTATTAAAAACCACCAAGCCAGCTCAAACGTCTGCAGTAAGCAAGGCGTTAGCCAACAGATCCAACCCACCTTCTTCTCCTCCAGGGGCTGGGGGTGCAGCAAGCCTCCTTCCGGAGCCTGATTTGGTGGGCTCTCCTTTGCTGAGAGTTACCTGTTAAAGTGGGGACGCTGTGTGCACTCCATTCTTATCCTTTCACACTGGAGGCAGGAGGATGGAGCACATGGTTTTGTAGGATGTGTGATACTGTCCCACTAGGTACTAGCGATGCCTTCAAAGAGACCCAGGATGTGGTTTTAAATCACATCACTTTCTGCAGCATATAACTTCCCTTTCTGGTCTCTTCCCATCTGATTCTCTTCAGGAAAAGGTCTCCACTGGTGCTTACAGGACCAGGACACCTTACAGGCTTTCTCCAGACTTGCTTTTTTAGCAGGTCTCCGAGCCAAAGCCTTGGGCGAGTCTGTGGCAACAGTATCTGCAACATTCTTTAGTTTCTGTTTATTTATTCACACAGTTACTTTCTAATTGTGGTAGTTGATTGCATTCAAGGTGGTGTTGCAATGGACCACCCCTGGCTGTTGGGCGCACTCCAAGTTATGCTTCCCTGGTGTGCTGAGAGAATTGTGTGCATCCACTCACCCCAGTACAGGAAAAGGGGTAGTCTCCTCTCATGATTTACAGTCTTGAAAGTGGGACTCACAATCCCCACTTTGTGCAAGCCTATTGTTACAGTCACTGTGCCAACACATCTCACTGAGATTCTTCCTCTCTTTTGCTAATCCTCTACTTTTCCAAGCATGAGCTTTAAACTGACATCTTTGCTCGTTAGCACCTTAACAAGGTCCTCGACAGCAGACAGTTCACTTCTCAGCAGAGCATCACCAGGCCTTTTTTTCCCTAGGCATCTCTGGGTGGACCCAAACCCCTAGCCTTTTGGTTCACTGCTAACCAAAGCAACTGATGACAACATCCGGGGACACCGGTGAGAGAAAGCTCCCTTTCAAGAGAGAGTTACTGAAGAAAGCAGCGGGAGTTGATTTTAAAAGCACGTTATGTAATTGTGCTGACAGAACTCTCTGCAGCAGTCCAGCTAAGGAGGAAATAAATGACATTTGAGGAGCATTCGAGTGAAGGATGTAAAAGGATGATGTGAGAAAGAAAACCAGATGTCAAGAATACTCCAGGTTCCCCTTCTAACCAACTTTTGGCTCAGCTAAGAAAAGGAGAGAGAAGACCAACCACTGGAGGCTGTCCTGCCCTGTGACCGTCCACCTGAATGCCCGCTGCCCACTCCCCAGCCAGCTGCAAAGTAGGGCTGGCCGGTGATGGGAAGGAGAATGTCCTTGCTTTGTAGGAATTTCCGTTTGTTTCTGCTTAAATGACACTTTATGTTTCTCTCCTCTGGGGGTTCACACAGCAGCTCGGGTTCCCAGTCAACAGCTTCTACACACGCTGTTTGAGCAGCATGGGTTCCACTCCCCACGGTGTGGGAACATTCTCCTTTTTTCCTTTCTGGTCATTCCACCTCCATCCAGCGAGTTTCCCTGCCCGCATACATCCTCATCTTTGTTTGAAAGTCACTGGGGATCATTTAGTCTCATAAAGTAATTTCTTTTTCAGGAGCCTTAGAGTGTAATGCATCGGTCTGCTAACCAAAAAAAGCTGGCAGTTCGCATCCACTCGCCCCAGTGCAGGAAAAGGGGTGGTCTCTTCTCCTGATTTACAGTCCTGGGAGTGGAGCTCACAATCCCCACTATGTGCAAGCCTATTGTTACAGTCACCGTGCCAACACATCTCACTGAGAGTCTTCCTCTTTTGCTGACCCTCATCTTTTCCAAACACGAGCTTTAAACGGACATCTTTGCTCGTTAGCGCTTTAACAAGGTCCTCGACAGCAGATATACTTACCCAGTGTAACACATCTTTTGACTTCTTGCAGCTGCTACCATAGGTGCTGATTGCTCTTATTCATCTGTTTGTTTGTTTTTTCCCCAAGATTTGTTTTTAATTGTGCATAGAGTGAAAGTTTACTGAATAAATACATTTTCCACTTTATGATTCCCACACGTTTCGTTTGCCGACACTGATGGCAACTCTTACCGTGTAGCAGTGTTCATCCCACCTCCTCCCAGCGTTTCTTGTTTCCACGCCTTCTTTCCTAACCCTTCTTGCCTCCTGGACTCTGACTTTGGGCAAATCTGCCCTTTTGCTCTTAAGTGGTTGGTTATTCAAAGGAGTGTGTACCTCCCTGGTGTTACCAGTCACCTTGTAGACCTGCCTATTGTTTGGCTGAAAATTGAGCCGTGGGGGTGAGTTCAGTTGCAGACTGGAAGGTTGTCTGAGGACCACCGTTTTGGGGGTTCCACCAGCCTCCATAAGACCAGTAAGCAGGGGCTTTATGATGCTTTTTCATTTTGCTCCAAGGTTCTCTCCTACTCTGCCCTGGACTGTCTAGCATGATCCCTTTCAGAGTGACCAGCACTGGAAGCTGGGCACCATCCAGTTCTGGATGCTGAAGGCCATGGAGGGGGCTTCTCATGGTCCATCACCTTCGTATTCACTGTTTCCATATATCTTTGAGTTGCTTCTCCCTTCTTTGCTCTGGACAGGGAGAGACCGCTCCTAGCCCCTTGGATCTACACTCGGAAGCTTTTAAAACTCCAGTCCCTACTCACCAAACTAGGATGCAGAATGCTGTCTCTGCAGCCTCTTGAGACTGTGGCCCTGAGCCCCAGGTCCAGTGTCAAGTCTGTCTTCTTGACCAGCCTCCAGAACCAACAGCTGTTGTGCCATTATTAGAACCAGCAGCTGCTGCACCACCATTCCCGTGTCACCAAACTGGACCCTGCAATGGTCTCAGGGACGCTTGGTAGAGGTTCATTTATGAACAAGGTGGCTTGACATCTTTGCCCACTGGGGCTGCTGGTGTCAGCCTGTCAGGCAGCCGCCATGCCTCACTGCCTGAACCTCCTCTCCGGACACCCCAATGCCCTCTCCACTCTGACACCCCCTTCTCATTCCTCTGCTTCCAGGTGCACCTCTGTTTCTTTCCCAGCCTCACTTCTACAATGCAGACCCCATCTTGGCTGAGGCGGTGACTGGCCTTCACCCAAACAAAAAAGACCATTCCTTATTTCTGGACATTCACCCGGTGAGTGTGGACAATGCCCAGCTGGATTTGGAGGGCTTCCTCCCTCCCTTAGAAGCAGAGGACCCAGGGTGGTAGGGTGGGAGGGAGGGAAGCGCGCCTTTCTCTGGCATTGTAGCTTTTAGAACATCAAGACATCAAAGGTGCCCACTTTACCCTGATTCCATAGTTCAAGGATCTCATTATCGCTTTGTAAGGGATAGAATTTATAAGGGATAATATAGCCTCTATAAATGGGCCATAAGACAGTAAATCAATTAGGATTATCAGCCCAGGGCGCCTCCTGCAAATTAGCCAGGACCAACTATCTGGCTGTGCCAAAATGCCAGGAAGGTCTTCAGGTGCCGATAACAGTTTAGGTGTCTTGTAGATAAATCTGGTCCAAGGGAATTTGTCCCAGGTCAAGTTTTATCTCCATGCACAGCCCAGCAGGTGGCCCAGCACACATGGTCCAGCTGTGGGCGTGTCTTAGCTAGGGCCGCCTTCTGTGCCCGTGTTCCCTCCGAGTTGACCAGTGACCCCTTGGGATTTTTGTTGATCAGACAGTTGATGCAATTCTGTTCCTGAGTGGACTCTGTTGGGCCACCCGAAGTCCTCTTTCAAACCTTGGTGCTGTCCCAACATTTTTCCTTGTACTCTCAGAACTAGACCAGGAAGGTAATTCCACCAAGAACACGCTCTCTTTCATGCTCTGAACAGAACCTCAGCTCCGTGCCCAATGTTCTCTGGTCCCCACGTGTCAGGAGGCTGTTCTGGCTGGAGTTTGGAGAGTGACAGATGGCTATGTCCCAGATGTCTCATCCACAGGCCTCTTGGCCCCCAAGTGGGCTCCTGGCAGGCAGGAATAGAAGTGGGCACTCGGGGAGGGTGGCCTGGGACTAGGTGAGTGCGTGGCGGGTGTCAGCTCTATGGACAGGGTGTCTGCTTTTCTGTTGTCTGGTCTGTCCTAACTCCTAGCAACCCTGTGGGCAGGGCAGAACTGCCCCAGAGTGCTCCGGAGGCCACCATCGTTTTCCCTCAGAGTGGCTGGTGGATTTGAACCACTGGCCTTTTGATTGGCAGCTCATTGTTTAATCTACTCTTCCCCAGACTCCTTGGTGGTGTCCATGGTTTGTGTTAAAGAATTCTGGTGGTACAACAGTTAATCACTCAGCTATACACCAAAAGGTTGAGATATCAAACCCCTGCAGTAGTCCTGCCCAGAACCCTTTCTTTCTAACATTCTCCTCATTCTGGCTGCCCCAAATGAGCCCAAAATCTTCACCCTGCCCTGTTATCTACTCAACAGAATGGCAAAAACCAAGTATTTGACAATGGCCACTTTCCAAACTAAGTGGGATTTCCATGGCTGTCGGTCATTATGGGAGCAGACTGTGACATTGTTTTCCACGGTGGGGCTGGTGGGTTTTGATCAGCCAACCTTTCGGATAGCAGTCGAGCTCCACAAGGTCCAGGTCTCCGGGGTGTGTGCAGCTGGCGGGCTGGAGGAGCCACATAAGGGTGGGGATGAAGTGGCCTGAGCGGGGAGATCGCAGAATGAGGAGTAGTGGCCCAGAGATGGGAAGGGACGGGGGGCTGTGTCGGGTCCCCACGAGCACCCTCTGGTTTAAGGCTTCGCGGGAAGGCTCAGCCTGGAGCTGTGCTCATGCCTGGGGCTGGCGACAGAGGACACTGTGCAAAGTCAGCAGAGGGAAAGGCAGGTGGACGACGTCCAGGGGAGGCTGGGGGTGAGAGTGCAGAGCCCTCTCCAGTGGGGGGTGTCACACTAGACACCCTGGTCTCGCCCTGCAGCGAGGTCACAGGCGGATGAAGTGCCAGCTGGCAGGGAGGCCACCTGCAGCCTCAGCGCCAGGCTTTTATTGGGGACGTCACGTCACGTAGCGCACGTCATGTCCCGTCCCGTCCCATCACATCATGTGTGCATCGACTGCCCCGCCCGCTGTGTCAACGCTGCGGCAGTGTCAGGGGGCGTCACATAACGTAGTGTACGTCATGTGCTGCCACGTCACGTCACATACGTCACGTGGCGTACGTCGACTCCCCGCCCGCCATGCCAATGCTGCGGCAGTGTCGGGGCATCACATCACATAGCGTATGTCATGTGCCGTCACGTCACGTCACGTATGTCATGTGGCGTACGTCGCCTCCCCTGCCGGCCGTGCCAATGCCGCGGAAGCGTCAGGGGACGTCACATTGCGTAGCACATGCCACATGCCGTCAGGTCACGTGGTGTACGTCGCTTCCCGCCGTGCCAATGCTGCGGAAGCACCAGGGGACGTAGCTAGCGCACGTCAAGTCACGTAGTGCACGTCCTGTGCCGTCATGTCACGTGATGCAGACCACATCACGTGGTGTACGTCGCTTCCCGCAGTGCCAATGCCGCGGAAGCGTCAGGGGACGTCACATCACGTAACGCACACCCTGTGCCGTCACGTTATGTCACGTGGCATCCGTCACGTCACTGCTGTGTCAATGCTGCGGCAGTGTCGGGGGCGTCGCATCACGTAGCATACGTCATGTGCCGTCACGTCACGTCACGTGGCGTACGTCGACTCCCCGCCCGCCATGCCAATGCCGCGGAAGCGCCAGGGGACGTCACGTCACGTAACGCACGCCCTGTGCCGTCACGTTACGTCACGTGGCGTACGTCGGCTCCCCCGCCGGCCGTGCCCATGCCGCGGAGTCTACATCCGGGCACCCTGGTCACGTGAGCCGGGGAGCCGCTCGCGGCCCTGACGTTGGGGCACGTGGATTCCCAGGCTGGGCGCCTGCAGGGCCGCCGCGCCGGCGTTGTCCGTGGGTTCGAGCCCGCCGGGCGGTGAGTGGACTCGGCAGGAGGGCCCCGAGGTCTGCCCCTCACTGTGTCTGCCGCCACAGGTCACCGGGATCCCCATGAACTGCTCGGTGAAGCTGCAGCTGAGCATCTACATGAAGGCCATCAGGGGCATCGGGTGAGTGGCAGCTGGGAGCTGGGGTGGCGGCCCTCCCTTCAGGGTCAGGGGCCCAGGACAGCCAGCTAGGACGCCATG